GATCTTCTCTCACTACTCTAAAGGGCCCCTTTGGCAGTAGGAAACACATAGACTATTATGGAGATTGATTTTGGGATTTAGATGCACTCTTATTGATTGTGCTTGGCCGTACATGTTCATATCCTTGTGTTCTATGAACTCTTGCACAAAATCTTTGCTCATTTTCCCTCTTAGCCTATTCTATAATTCACATGAGATATTTATAACTGATCTATATGTCAATTCACAGATTAGAGATCATTAATAAATATGAACTACATGGCTACTTGGAGTTAACAAAACTACGAAATACACAAGATGGCCCTCACTTCTGACACCAGCTGCAGGTTGGGATGGATCCCTAACCTACCCTCAGTCTGAATAATTTGATAGGACTCACAGACCCTATTGAATTGTCATCTTTACGGTTACAGATTATTACAGAGAAGACATTCAGGTTAAATCTACTAAAGGAAGAGATGCATTGAGCAGAATCTGGGAGGGCTCCGAAATAGGAAGCTTCCATTGTCTTCAGAATGTGCTAGCCACTGAGAATCCGTGTGCAAGGATCAGTAGGTACTGAGTGTTGATGACCAGGGACTCTCCCACCTTTGGTGTCTAGGGTTTTTATTAGGGCTCCATTACATTGACATGACTAATTCCTACATGGTTGAACTCCAGTTTCCAGGTTGGTTAATCTCACAAGGTGCAAAGCTCCTATTGTGAGTCTTCTAATTGGTTTTTCTAGCATGACTAGTGCACTCTGTGACTGTTAGTTTGGCCTCAGCCCAGTGTATATTATAGTCACCTTAAGTCTAAGCAAAGGCATTTCAATCGGGTTTCCTCTCCAAAGATGAGGGCTAAGGACAGATCTCCTCTTGGGCAAGACCCAAACTCTTTACTACACAATCGATCGAGAGAACTGTTGATCTCACATATTTTGGCCATGTTTTTAAGAGGAGCTGGTCCTTGGGAAAGGACATCATGGTTGGAAGGGTGAGGGTCAGCGAAAGAGAGGAAGAGTCCCTCAATGAGTTGGAGTGACAATAGTGACTAACAATGGGCTCAGGTATATTAGTGATGATGAAGATAGCACAGGATAGGGCAGAGTACAGATCCATTCATGGGGTCGCTGTGAGTCGTGGTTGATTTGATAGCTCTTAACAACGTTATGGATATATAGATACAATATATGAAATATTCACACTGTTAGGGCTGTTGGGTGTTGCTAGGGCTGTTGGGTGTTGCCAAGGCATTTCTGAGCCGTGATGACCCTGTGTGTGACAGAAGAAACACAGCCCAGTCCCATGCCAGCCTCATAATCACTGTGCTTGAGTGCATTATTGCAGTCAGTGTGTCAGCCCATCTCAGGGAGGCCTGCTCCCCCCACCCCTTTTCTCTAGCCAGCTACAAATTATTTATAGCTCTCAAGAACATAACTCTTGAGTAACAGTCTTACAATATTTTTCCTTCCTTCCAGACTTAAACAGTCAAGTTAAATCAAGCTGGGTCATCATGGCGGAAGGCGGCTTCGATCCCTGTGAATGTGTTTGCTCTCATGAACACGCGATGAGACGGCTCATCAATCTGGTGAGATGAACAGGACTGTCCTGTCTAGAATTGAACTGTATGCCTCTTCTTTGGCCCTTTATATGTGAGGATACTGGTTGGCGGAGAAAAAATACCTTGTAATTGAAAATCCATAGTCATCTAAGCCATGTAGTCAAATGATGGACTTAATGCAGGTGAAATTAACTATCATTCTTTTTAAATTTTTATTGTGATTTTAACGAAAGTTTACAGAAAACTTGGATTTCCGTTCATTCATGCACCACACATGTTTATACAGTCTTTTCTACTTCATATCAATGTAGATTTTCCTTAGTTCCATAAACCTTATTATCTGGGTAAAGCACTACGCATTCACAGTGGTAAGGAGTTGCACTGCCATCCTGAAGGCATGCAGTTCAAGTTTACCAGCTGCTCCGTTGGAGAAAGATGGGCCATCTCCTCCTGGGTAGTTTACAGCCTCCGAACACCTGCTGAAAGCTTAGCTATGAGCTAGTTTTGACTCGACCAGATGGCAAAATAACCGCGACTTTATAATAACGGGAGGTCTGGGGATGTAGTCCGTCAGGAATTGCACTAATAACCCAAAGGTCTCACCTGTCTTAGTAGTTGGAATCCACCACTGACTCCTCTGGACAGTGTTCTTGCTTGCAATTTACAGTCTCCCAAAAACCCAGTGGAGGGTCAGCTGTGAGTCCGTTCTGACTCGGTGACAATTTTTAAGTTTTGTTATGGCTCAAACCTTATGCCAACCTACAGCATAACAATAGAAAAATCTCTGTGTATTACATTCCCAAATCCAAATCAGTTATAAAGGCTTATTTACGAAAAGGGTTTACATAGCATCATAATCCTAGATTTTATTTTTTACATTCGACACTTTGTATTTAAAAACATTAATTTCAATATCTGCAATGTAGTCAGTTTTCCTATTTCTGATTTCCATTAATCTTTATTTTAGTTTATATTTTATATTGGTTTGCATACAAAGTTCATATACACTGTATTTCATATTATCTTTCAATCACATTGTGTTTCATACAGTCATTCCCATTCATTTTGTTTTAGACAATTAATCATTGTAAGAACTATGCCCACCATTACCGTCTTTTCAGATCCCCACTGGATCTTTCCCATTTCTGTTACCCACCCCTCCCTCCACCCACCAAATTGTGCAACCTTATGATTTCCTCCCCCCCCCCCAATTTGATTTTCTTTTCATGGTGAAATTTCAATTAGAGGCATTTTAAGATCTAGACTTTTTTTTTTAAGATTCAACTTTAAACTTAAAAAGATGACTGTTGATACTATACTTCATCATTGACAGTAGTCACATCACAACTGTTTATTGTTTTTAAATACCAATATGCAAAGTCTAGATATTAAAGACAGAAACAAACTTTTGCTCAGTATTTGGTCAGTCAGGCTGCTAACCCTTAGTTTTTCTGCCGTCTTTGTATGGCTAGATAGTCATTAGAAATGTGCTGCTTAGAAATGGTGTAACTTTTATTGTTACCATATGCTAGACTTATTTTTGATCCATAAACATGCCTTTGAGGGAAAGTAATAAAATAAGAGTGCATAATTTAAAACAGATTCTGGTGGGTATACAGATATACTTGGAATGCAATATCTCTTGTGATTTGATATAAAAATAGAGAAGTCTGATGGAAGGCTCTAAAAATATTTTCAACTGTTTATGAAGTAAATAATGATAGGTTTTATTTCTTTTTTTATTTTATTTTTTTTTAGGTTTTATTTCTAATTGTAGTTAAACATAAGGCAGAAACTTTTGTTGATTTACTGTGGACATTAGGAACAGAGAAATAGACTTTTACATTAACTCTTATTAAAAGTTTATCCTTTGGGAAAATTTATAAAGGTCTGTCTTAGTTATCTATTGCTACTGTAATAGAGTTACCCAATTGGATAGCTTTAACAAATGAATTTATTTTTCACAGTTAATTAGACTGGACGTCCTAATTCATAGAACCATTTATCTTGCCCTCTCTTTCTCTCTCTGCTTACTTGTTTAATTTCTTTATATCTCAGAAAAGGATTGACTCAGCAAATATCCTACACTTATCTTTTCTCAAGAACAACCCACTTCCATATGGTATCATGGCGCTCTGGTGGGCTAGTGGTAAGGAGCTGCACTGCCAACCCAAAGTCACACAGTTTGAATACAACTCCTGTGTGATTATGAGTCGATTCTGACTCATAATCAGCATGTAACAACAGCATTATTATTAGAGGTATAGAGGCTAAGATTTACAGCATGTGTTTTTAGGGGGCAATTTAATAAACCGTAACATCCTTTGGCTCCTCAAATTCTTTGTCCTCCTACATACAAAACATTCACCCCATTATATCATCCCAAAATTCTTAAATAAACTCTGGTTCCAACATAGAATTTTCTGAACAAATGTGAGTAAGAGTTTTATGTGTATTCCATCCTGGAACAACATTCTTTTTTTCTCTGTGAACTGTGAAATCTAGAATTTAAATTATCTGTTTCCAAAGAACAGTGGTAGAGCAGACACAAAGTAGACGTTTCCATTACAAGTGGGAGAAATTGAAGGGAAAGAAAGGATAATAAGCAGCCACGCTAGACCAAAATGATATAGAGCAAATCACCCTTGCTGTCAAGGCTTGAAATAATCATCTGTCTTCTGAAGCCCTCTGAGCAGTGGTCCTGCCTTCCAGACCCTGAGTGTGGGCCGCTCCCTCTGGATTCTGGGAGGAGGCAGGTTCTACTTTCAGTGTCCTCAGATATGGCAGCTCTGCACCTTTGGTTTTGGGCACCCCATTATCTGAATGGTCATCCTACCTCATGGGCCGCAGTTGGCCTTGTTCTTTTGCCTCTTGGGCATGGCAGCTCTACTCCCTCAACTATTGCCAGCGGACCCATCTCCCTAGCACAGCTTATCAACAGCCCTAAATCCCACTGAGTTGGAAAGTACCCAACTTTATGAAACCTAGGAGACTGGCTTCATCCTGTGAAGCCAAGGAGGAGACCTGCTGACCTCAGAGTTTCTCCAGCGATGGTCATTTTCCCTTCTGAGAGGAAAACCAACACATGGAGCTCCTTTGATCTGTTTGCTGCCACTAAAATTCCAGGAGGCTGATATTGTTCTAACTTTCTTTCTCTTTAATCTAAACTAATGTATTTTCTGGCATAGTAGTTGGTTAGAGCCAGTGTCCACAGACTCTTTAACAAGATTGTATAGTTACATATTTGGTAAATATTTTAGAACATATGTCCTTAGTCTCCACAACAAAATGCTATACATTTTTAAGTTTTACATAGTTTTTTTATTATTGTTAATTTCAATGAAAATTTACAGAGACTTTAGATTTCCATTCATTACTTGTTGCACTTTTCTCCCCACCCAGCCCTCCCCCCAGTACACTCCCCTCTTGGAAAAAGAAAAGAAAAATTCTTTCATTGTTTTACAATCCTTCCCCCCAGGTCCACTCCACTATGCAGCCTTCGCTCTGGACTCCTGTCATGACAAAAATGCCTAATCACATATCCCTTTTAAACAGTTTTCTCCCTCATCTGTTTCAATACAGTATACATTATTTATCCATCTTTCTCAGTCTCCCCCCAACCCCGATGTCAGTCCTGTTTTACAACAGTGGCACCATGTAGTATTTGTCTTTGTCCTCCAGGATTACCCATTTTGAATAATATTTCATGAGTTCCTTGTTTTTCAATGCAGCCTAGTATTCCATTGTTTGAGTATACCAGAGCTTCTCTATCCATTTGTTTGTTGCTACAACAATGGGCTTGCAAAGGAGGGAGATTTGTAAAGATGACACAGGATAGAGCAATGTTCTGGTCTGTGAGTTGCAGTTGATTGGACAGTGCCTAACAGCAAATGATATTAGAGTCCCAGGACAGCGCATTTAAGTGCTCGACTACTAACTGTAAGTTTGGCAATTTGAACCCATTTACCCATGTGCTTTGGACATCTTATGAAAGCCTGCAGTAATCTGCAGGCATCATCTCTCTCTATAGCAGTTCTGTGCCATGAGTTGGAATCAATTTGAGGGAGACTGGTAACTGGTAAGTATTTAAATTTCTAAGTCAACTCAGGTGCATAGAGACCCGATGGACTATGCCACCACAGTGCCCTGATTTAATACACATGCCAGTTAACATTCTTTATAATAAACAATAGACTTTCTGCTGGTGAAGCTGAAAGGACTTCTTGGAATGATAGTGTGGATTACAAACTGTGGTTAACTTTGAGAAGAACAGAATCCCAGAACAGTTGATTGTACTTACGTGAAACCTATACTTGGACCAGAAGGCATTTGTCAGAACAGAGCAAGGAAACACTACATCATTCAAAATCAAGAAGGCTGTACACCAAGGATGTGTCCTATCTCTATACTTTTTTCATTCTGCATGGAGAACAGATAATCCAGGAGTCTAGGCTCTAGGAGGAGGAGTGTGGCATCAGGATTGGAGGAAGACTCATCAACAGCCTATCTTATGCAGATGACACAACCCTGCTTGCTGAAACTGAGGAGGATTTGAAGCATTTGGTGCAGAAGGCCATGCACTGCAGCCTTCAATATGGATTGAAGCTCATCATCAAGAAAACAAAGATTCTCACCACTGGGCCAGTTGGCAGCATCCTGATAAAAGGTGAAGAGAGTGAGGTTGTTAACAGCTTCAGTTTGCTTGGCTCTACAATAAACAATCTTGGTACCTACCAGCAGCCAAGAAATCAAAAGATTAGTTGTGTTGGGAAAGTCCACTGTCAGAGACCTCTCGAAAGTACTGAAGAGCAACGATGTCAGTCTGCAGACTAAGCTGCACCAGATCCAGGCCATAATCTTCGTAATGACTTGCTATGCATCAGAAAACTGGACAATGACTAAAGATGGTAGAGCATTGATGTCTTTGAGCTGTTGTGCTGGCGAAGAATATTGAATATACCATGGACTACCAAGAGGACAAACAGGTTTGTCCTGGAGAGGTTCAAATCAGGCTGCTCCTTGGAGGCAAGAATTCTGAGGCTTCATCTGACATACTTTGGAGGA